CATCGTAAAGTAATCTGTAGAGGAGAGAGTAGTGAAGGTAGTTTTTGTTAGTTACTCAGATCTCCTGTGTTGGAGCTGCGGATTTCTCCACATTTAAAGGTCCCTAAAAATGAATTTGGAAACTGGTTTTAACGCTTCCCTTTCAGCTGATTGGCTTCCCCTCACAAGCAGAAGGTTTGAACAGCATGTTGGGGGGGTTTCTATGCCTGATATAACCAGTTATGAGGGCTAGCCCCTCTCTGACATCACAAAGAGCCAAAAATGGGGCATTCAGAGCAGTGTGAACCCTGAGCTTTTGGATGAGGAGTGTGCAAGTCCACTTGCAGGGAAGAGGGCACCAGTTAAGCACAGGTTGTTACAGAAGAATAAATAAGTTAGGTGTCACTAAAATCACATGTGAGTAACAATCGCAGCAGCTGAAGGATGATTTAAAGGAAATGAATATTGGTGACAATTAAAGGACAAAGAAAGGAAACTTTTCTCTAGTTACAGTTTTCAATAATCCAGTGTGTGGTTTACCTGAAATTCCCTGGAAAATCCCCACCACAGAACAAACATACTGCTGAGTGTGTGTGGTTTACCTGAACAATGATCAGCTTTTTGGAAGGGTCCTCTGAGTCACTCAGCTCTTCTCCGAAACACAGGGTGAAGCCAAACTGGGGAGGCTCACCGCCATTTGTACGGAAGTGGTCCAACTCTGATGATTGAGGAGGGAAGGGGGGGCGGGTGTTTATTAGCACTTCATATAAGTTATCAGCTCAGGGCAACAAACAGCCCTGCAGTGAATCTTTGCTCATGACATTTAAAATCAAAATTCCAGATGGACAATTCCAACCGAAAACTAAAGTTTTTTGAAGATTGGACCTTATTATCACAAAAACTCTCTACAATTAAAAAATAACATGCACTTAACATTGATTTTTCAGTCTTAAACAGCGCTGCCAGATGTATAATGACCATGCGTATTGTGTTTCCAAGTGTGGGAGGATTGATTGCCTGCTACGGTAAAGGAAGAGCTGAGAATGAAGGGAACGCAGCTGATTTACTGCTCGACCTGCATTCCTACCCTCACCTATTGCTACGAGTTATTTGGGAGACGCGTATTCCCAGTGACGTACCAGCCTGTAACACCGTTCAGGAGCAGCCCTCCACTTCACGTTGCTGAAAACTGCACTATTTTTAAATGTTTTTATTTTTTCCTGTAGTCAGGTCAAGCTGCACAGAGCAGGTAAGGATCGCGACAAGTCAAACACAGAACTGAATTAGCAGCTTTTCAAAATAAAAGATCCTGAACACCCTTAGTTTAAGAACAAAGCTGTGTTGGAGACACGTAAACGGCGTTCTCCTGGAGTCAGACTAAAGCTGCTGCTGGGTATGGCATGTGTCCAAATGGGAGGATGACATGCTGCAGAGATTATGTGCATCTGCTGTGTTTGAAAGGCTTCTGCATTTCCTCAAAGGAGAGCTGGACAGGAAGACGTGGGCATCTCTGGTTAGACTGCTGCCCAGACGAGCACCAGGCAAC